TAGGCTAATTTTTTCTAATTTTAGTAGAGACAGGGTCTCACTTTTGCTTAGTCTGGTGTTGAACTCCTGAGCTCAAGTAATCCTTCTGCCTCAGCCTCCCAAAGTGCTGAGATTACCTGTGAGCCACCATGCTTGGCCATCTTTTCTTTTTAATACATTGCAGTATTCAGTTTGCTAATTGCTTTATTTATGTTTTTGTTCATATACATGACTAAAATTTATCTGTAAGTTTCCTTTTCTTTTACAGTCCTTTTTGGTTTTGGTACAAATGTTATACTCACTTCAAAAAATGAGTTTAGAAACATCTTTTTTTCTGTTCTCTGAATAATTTGTGTAAAGTTAGAATGTTAGAATGACTTATTCTTTGCAATTTTGGTGTAGAACACTACAAGTGAAGTGAATTGCTTTTTAAGTGCTAATTCAATCTCTTTAAAATTTATAGGACTAATCAGGTTTTCTGTTTCTTCTGGAGTTGGTTTTGGTCATTTATATTTTTCTAGAAATTTATCCATTCTACTACAGTATACAAGTTTTTGGCATCACATTAATAATGATATTCTCTTATTATCCACAGTGTGTTAAGCTAATTTTCTCAGATCTATGGCCTGAACACTAATTATCTTTTAAGCTATATCTCCTCTGGTCTTAAATTCATTAAGTTTTTATTCTTCTTTTATTATGGTAAAATAAACACAACATGACATATATCATTTTAACTTTTTTTTTTTAGCAAGGTCTCACTCTGTTGCCTAGGTTAGAATACAGTTGCATCATCGTAGTTCACTGGAACCTTAAACTACTGGGCTTAAGTGATCCTCTCACCTCAGTCTCTCAGGTAGCTAGGATTACAGGCCCATACCACTACACCCTGCTAATTTTTCTTTCTTCTTCTTCTTCCTCAAGCGATCCTCTTACCTTGGTCTCCCAATGTGCTAGGATTTTCAGTTGTGAGCCACCACACCCAGACCATTTTAAGTGTAAAATGCAGTGACATTAAACCTATTCACAGTGTTTTCAATCATTGCCATTATCCATTTCTGTAAGTTTTTATCATCCCAAACAGAAAGTCTGTACCCATTAAGCGATAACTCTCCATTCCCTTAGCATCCTCTGCCCTACTTTCCATCTCTATGAATTTGCCTCAGATAAATGAAATCATTCAATATTTGTCCCTTAGTATCTGGATTATTTCACTTAGCATAGTTATTTTCAAGGGTCATTCGTGTAGTAGCATGTATCAGAACCTCTTTCCTTTGTATGGTTGAATAACATTCCATCATAAGTATATACAACATTTTGTTTATCCGTTCATCTACTGATGGGCGCTTCAGTTTTGGCTATTATGAATAATGTTGTTATGAACATTGGTGTACAAATATCTGTTTGAGTCTTTGTTTTTAGTTATTTTGGGTATACTACACATAGGAGTAGAATTGCTGGGTCAAATACTAGTTCTGTGTTTAACATTTTCAGGACCCACCCAATTGTTTTCCACAGTGGCTGTACCATTTTACATTCCCACCAGCAATGCACAAGGTTTCCAATTTCTCTACAGTTAGCCTACACTTACTATTTTTCTGTGTTGTTTTTTTTTTCATACTTGCCATCTTTTACAGTGTGAAGTGGCACCTCATTGTGGTTTTGATCAATTTCCCTAATGCCTGATGATATTGAACATCATTTTGTGTGCTGTTGTCCATTTGGATATCTTTTTTAGAGAAATATCTAGTCAAGTCTTGCCCATTTATTCTGAATATTAATCTAATAAGTGATTTGCAAATTTTTCTCCATTTCTGTAAGTTGTCTTTATACTCTTAATAGTGTCCTTAAATGACAAGAGGTTTTTATTTTAACAAAGTCCAATTTATATATTTTTTTCTTTGGGTGCCAGTGCTTTTGCCTTAAGAAACCATTCCAAAAATCCAAGGTCATAAAAATTTTCCTTTCTATTTTCCTCTGAGAGTTTTATAGGTTTAGCTCTTAAATTTAGGTCTTTGATCCATTTTACAATAATTGTTATATATGAAATAAGGTAAGAATCCAACTCCATTCTTTTGCATGTGGATATCTAGTTTCCTTAGAACCACTTATTGAAGATTGTCCTTTTCGTATTGGGTGATCTTGGAACCCTTGTTAAAAATTAATTTACCATCTATGGCAGGGTTTATTTGTGGGCACCCTATTCTAGTCTATTTGTCTATAATGTCTATCTTTATGCCAGTACCACTTTGTTTTAATTAATGTAGCTTTGTAGTAAATTTGAATCAGGAAGTGACGACTCCAACTTTGTTCATATTTTTGAGATTGTTTGTGGTCATTCAGGCAGGGTCCCTTGGATATCCATGTATGTTTTTCTGTTTCTTCAAAAAATGCCATTTGATATTTTGATAGGGTTTTACATTGAATCTGTGTATAACTTTACATAGCATTGTCATCTTAATAGTATTGATTATTCCAAGTTGTGAACAGATGTCTGTTCATCTACTTATATTTCCTTTTTATTGACATAGGTTTTCTTTAATTTCTTTCAGCAGTCTTTTATAGTTCTCAGTGTATAAGTCTTTTACCTCCTTTGTTAATTTATTACTAAGTATTCTATTCTTTTTCATGATATTTTCTTAATTTCCTTTTCAGATTGCACATTGCTAGTGTATAGTAATACAAATGATTCTGAATGTTGATTTTGTATCCTTCAACTTTGCTGAATTTTTTAATCAACTCTAACAAAATTTTTTGTGGATATTTTGGGATTTTCTACATATAAGGTCATGTCATCTGTAAACAGAGACAATTTTGTTTCTTCCTTCCCAATTTAGATGTGTTTTATTTCTTTTTCTTGCTTAACTGCTCTGGCTAGAACTTACAGTACCATGTTGAATAGAAGTGATGAAAATGAGCATCCTTGTTTTAATGCTGATTTTATGGGAAAAGCTTTCAAACTTTCAGCATTGAGTATGATGTTAACTGTCGGTTTTTCTTCTATGGTCTTTATCATATTGAGGACATCTCACTAACTTTTTAAATGCTATTATCATATTTTTCCATTTGTATTTGTTTAGTTCTTTTTCAAATATGGTTAACCAATTAGCTAGTTTTTTGTTCTTATATATACCTTTCATTTCTCCTTTTAAAAACATGAATCACATAATTAATATATAGCTGTTTAATTTTTCTGATATGGGTAGGTTTTGTGGGTCTGATTCTGCAGCTTGTTGGTCATGCTCACTCTTACTCATGATGACTAGACTCCTAGTATATGTTGTGAATTTTGATTTTGAATTTATGGTCCTGGATATGTTATTCATAGATATTCTTTCAGGGCTTTGTTTTAAATATGTTCTTCAAGAGATGATTTGCATTTGTTTCTGCCAGGTACCTGTGGTACTATCAATATAAATCACATTAAATTAATTTTTGGCTTTTTTTTTAAAGGCTATATGGGTAGCAAGTATTCTGACATTATGGAAGTGAGTTTATGGTTAAAAATTCTTAGGGAATTTTTTTTTCTTTTCTATTCAAAGCCTTGGGTGAGGTCGCAAAGTCCGTTCTGTGGAATAGATATTTTCCTAATACACACACTAAAGGTATCACCATCACCAGATGTTAGATTTCTCAACTTTATATTGAGTTCTTCAGATAGACTTCCTACCTTGCTTGGGGTCTTCACATTCTTTCCTGTAACTTGAATACTATGCTAGTTCTATACAGGCTGTAGGTGATTATGAATAAGTAGATGCTTTCAGAATAAATTTTTGGTCCAGTGCTCTCTTACCCATGGCACTGTGTTTTTTCGTCTTGTCTGACTTCTGTTTTGTCTTCTCTACTGTTAGATAAAGCATATTTTAAATATATATTTTAAAAATATTATTGTACATTTTCAAGTGTTCTTTACTTGAAGGAGGGGTGGATTCTCCACACATCTAGTCTACCATATGAAAGTTTAGAAGAGGACTTTGAAGACCAATTTTGTGATCCATTCTTGCTTTTATCTAATTGGGAATCATAATTGGTAGCATTTACATAAATTTTTCTTAACTAATTTACACTGTCTATCACATTACATGCTTTTATAACTTTATATATAGCTGTTACTATGCTCTTGTATTGGTAATTTGGATGTGGTTACATGATTTGCTGGTTGCAGTGTTATCAAGTGATTGTTATTATTTTGCATTTTGAAACAGTAAATACCCTTTAAAAATACAATGAAATTCAAGAAATATAACACTCCACTTTTCTATGGAAGTTTTGCAGTTTTTGTAGGAAAAATTATATTTTCTTTGTCTACAAAAAATTGTACATCTATTTGGAACAATTTATATTTTCTTTATCAAGCTGATTCTTATTTTAACCCTTTGCACTTGCTTGCTTTTTTTCTCGATTCCTTTATTCTACTTGGGATTTAATTTTTTTTTTTTTTTTTTTGAGACAGAGTCTCACTTTTGTCGCCCAGGCTAGAGTGAGTGCCATGGCGTCAGCCTAGTTCACAGCAACCTCAAACTCCTGGGCTCAAGCAATCCTTCTGCTTCAGCCTCCCAAGTAGCTGGGACTACAGGCATGCACCACCATGCCCGGGCTAATTTTTTGTATATATACTTTTAGTTGGTCAATTAAGTTCTTTCTATTTTTAGTAGAGACGGGGTCTCGCTCAGGCTGGTTTCGAACTCCCGACCTTGAGCAATCCACCCGCCTCGGCCTCCCAGAGTGCTAGGATTACAGGCGTGAGCCACCGCACCCGGCGGGATTTAATTTTTTAAATACCCCAGATTTTACAAAGCGCGGCAGTAGAATAAAATACTGGCATTTCTTTTCATACAAACTTATTTATTTGGATTTTTTTTTAATATTTCAAATTGTTGATACAGTCAAAGAGTAATCTCTATAATTTTTGCTAACCGTCACACTCGACATCCGAGTACAAAGAGTCAAGTATCTTTTACTTTATGCCTTTCTTAGTTTTATGGTCCTTATTATTGATGTGTGTAAAAATTTTTTTGCAGGTTTTCCTTAGGTGATGCTAGGAGGCCTCTTCATGAAACAGCAGTTTTGGTAGAAGATGTGGTACACACTCAGTTAATTAATCTGGTAAGAGCATTTATAATTTTATTCGATGTCTTCTCTACATTCTGCTTTTATTGGGATTGCAACCCAACGCTTTAAAAAAACTTATTTATATCTGGAATTTTTTTTTGTCAGCATTACTGAAATATAATTTACATACAGTGAAATTTCCCAGTTTGCATAATTATGAGTTTTAGGAACAGAGTATTGTCATGTAACTAACAACATGATATAGAAAATTTTCACCATTGAAAACAGACTGTTGTTCCCCTGTGCAGTCAGTCTTATTACCACAGCCCCTGGCCCTTGGCAAACAACTCATCTTTTTTATATTACTCTAGTTTTTCCAAAAATTACCAAAAAATTTTTTATTTTAAATTTTAGACTTACAAAGAAATTTTACACACAGTACAGAGAATTCCCAGATACCCTTCAGCTTCCCCTAATGTTAGTATCTTACATAACCATAGTATAGTTATCAAAACCACGAAATAATATTGGTACAATACTATTAACTAAACTACCGACCTTATTTGAATTTCATCAGTTTTCCCACTAATATACCTTTTCTGTTCCAGGGCCTAATCTAGGATATGATGTTGGTTTAGTTGTCATGTCTGTGTTGTCTCCTTCTATCTACAATAGTTCTTCAGTATTTCCTTTACTTTTACGACCTGAACAATTTTGAAAAGTACTAGACAGTTAATTTGTAGAATGATCTTATATTTTTATTGGTCTGATGTTTTGTTAGGATTAGAATGAGGTTACGTGTTTTTGGCAAGATTACCACAGAAATGATTGGTCCATCTTAGTGCATCACATTATCATTATCCAGGGGTTCATGATATGTCTATTTTTGATATTAAACTTGATAGCTTATTTAAGGTGGTGTGTGCTGAGTTTCTCTACTATAAAGTTACTATTTTTTAATTTCATGGTTAGTAAGTACCTTGAGGATGTTTTCTGACTATGCAAATATTCTCTTTCCCAAAAAATTTTGCCTATTAATTTTACCATTCATCAGTGAATCTTATCTGAGACAATTATTATTGTGGTATTTGCCTAGTGGCGATTTTTTCTGTTTCCTTCTTTCCTTTTGCGTTTATTAATTACAATTCTTCTTAAAGGAAAAACCTTTGTTTCTATTTATTTAGTTAGTTTTCTAAACAAATAAATGTAGTATATCTTATGGACAAATAGATATGTAAATATTATTCTAGGCATCATTATCCAAAACTATCATTATTTCCTTTTCTTGCTGAGTTTGTTACAGTGTTTGCCATTAGAAACACTTTCAGGTCCTCTTCCCATTATTCTGTTGGGTTTTTGGACTTATGTTCTACATATATTAGGAATATTAGTCATTTGTCTGTGATGTATGTTGCAAATATGTTCTTTCAGTGTGTCAGTTGTATCAGTTATCCCTAAGTTTGTTTTTGTGGGTTTTGTTTGCCATGCAAGTATTTTTATTTTAAGGTAGTCAAATGTAACACTCTTTTATGTTTTTGGATTTTGGATCACAGTTAGCCTGTTTCTTGTGCAAGCTTACCCCATTTAATTGCACTTAATTTTATTGTGCTTCCCAGATTTTGCATTTATTTTTACAAATTGAAGGTTTGTGGCAACCCTGCATCAAGCTAGCCTTTTGGTACCATTTTTCCAACAGCATGTGCTCACTTTGTGTCTCTGTATCACACTTTGGTAATTTTCACAATATTTCAAACTTTTTCATTATTATTGTATCTGCTATGATGATCTGTAATCAGTGATCTTTGATGTTGCTATGGTAATTGTTCTAGGATGCCAAGAACGGCACCCATAAAAACGATAAACTAAATCAGCAAATGTGTGTGTTCTGACTGCTCCATAGACTGGCCATTTCCCCATCTCCCTCCCTTTTATATGACTCAGTGCAATACAAATTAGATATTGTCACTAGACAGAGACTTCAAATGTCTTTCCTTATTGTGCAAAGTTGCAATGCTAATATTTAGTTTTTACAGTGATTATAAAGTCATAAAGGTTAGATTTAATATATATATAAAGGACTTAAGGAAATTCCTGGGACATAATATCAGTTCTCTAAGTTACAATAAGATTAGTAGTAAATGGTTACTATGGTTATTAATAACAGGGCTATGTAATGGCATGATTTATATGAAAAATGGATTGAAAAATTCCTAAGAATGTCTCATTTACCAGAGAGATACATACCTTTTCATATCATAAGATTCCTTCTCCCCCACTCTCTAGGTTGAGCCATATCACATTGATATAGAGATTTGTGCCAATGGAAATTGTGTGATTGAGTTGTCATGATGCTATCAATAATACCAAGTTCAAAACTATCGTGATTTCTGGTGGCTATATATAGTTATTTTCAGTTTCTGTTTATTCAGAGTTAAGTATCAGAAGAATCTCTATATTTTAAATAGATTGCAGTTCCCATTCCATTTTAAAATCATATTAGATTTTCACTATATGAATCTACCAGACTACTAGTAAGCTGTTCAATTGGTTATACTGTGTTTTCACATCAGAACCAATTTCTCAGGGTTATTCTAAAACTCCTTAATTATGAAGAGTAATAAAGAATAAATTGATATGTGTGAAGAGTTATTGCTTAATCTCCCATTTGGATTAGCATGCCCTGAATTCACTCCTCCTTCTTCATTCTTCCAATGCTTTTTAATTTGGCAATTAATCTCCCTGTTAGAAGTAGCTCATCCAAAACACTATTCCATCCTTATCATCAGTTCTGTGAAGCTATCACTTATACCACCTAAGTCATGGTTTATGGTTATTTTTTAAATAGTAATGAAGTTTCCTATGTAGAACTTCAATTGTAAGGGTTATCAAAATAGGATAAACTAATATAATTTGTGATTGCATAAAATAAAGCAAGCAGAGATACCATGGAGACCTAATGAAGCATAGGATGGAAATAGTCTTCTAGCTAACTAAACATTCAGATTTTGTACTAAGTCAAAACATGTATATATAACTCAGCAAACTGGAACACACTCTATGTTTACACAAATGGAATAAAGGAGTCCACAAATACCATCTGGGAAAAAATTCTTGGCCTTTCTGTCTGTTCTTACTGTGGAGTAAATGAAGTACCAGATATTTCGCGTAAACAGACTGAAAACACACCTGCGTTGGCGAAAACAAACACACATGCACATAGATACAGAGTAGTTCAAAATAGAACATTGTATGTCAGTAAAATCTGATCACTTTTCTTCATTTTTACATAGAACTTTCTTTTCTTATGAATGTACTGGGGAAAATTTACCAACTTTTTCTATATAAGACTTGTTTTTGATTGCTGTTAATATTTTTTACTTAGTATAATTTTCTCTTATATGTTATCATCTCATGCATCAAAAAGTACAATTGTCTCATCTTTTAAAAAAATAGTTGGTATAGCCGTTGACTGATAATTTAGTTTTTAATCTATGACAAGAAGTGAGCATAGCGTAAGCAAAATGCCTCTTTAGCTACATTTTCCCCACCAGTTGCCATGGATATTTTGCTAAAGGCATGACCCAGAGGATCAACTGGGAAGGAATTTCCAGTCCTTTCCCCCACCATTCTTAATATCTCCTTTTTTTCCTGCTGCAGTATATCTCACAGTTGATTCATTTGAGAAACAGTCTTTACTTCAATGTCAGAGAATCTCAGAGTATAAATTGCTTACAGTTCCAGTAAATTATAAGTAGTATCTTATGTTACTTGGTTTTCTTACCATAGATATAAAAGATCATCTTCTCACCTTTTCATGTGTGTCTTTTTTCATGCATTAGGCTTTTTAAAGGGTTCTTCATTTGATTTTCCTGCTGGACTGCTGGAATCTTATCCCCTGACTTAAGTAAGCTAAGCTGTGCTAGCTATTTAGATCCTGTCTAATGCTTGTATTTTTTATCTGTGCTGAAAGTTTCAGTTCTGGCTAAAACTTCTCATAAATGTCTAATACTTAGGTTCCAAGTATTTCAGATTTACCAGAGATGTAGACCTTTTGTAAAACTCCTACTCTCGAGATTGAATTGGATCACTTTATTGAGATTGGTGATTTGTGCCAACTAGAAATTGTTTGAGTTTATACTGTGCTATTGATAATACCCTTTTGATAATATCAAATTTCTAATGAAGTTCAAAAGCTGTAATGATTTCTGATGGCTGTATGGCTACTTTCATTTTTCTATCCATTCAGAGTTAAATATTAGACAAGTTTCTTCATTTTGCACATAGAATATAATTAGCTAACATTCCATTTAAAAATCATACTGGATTTTCACTACATAACTTTACCAGGTAACTAGTAAGCTGTTCAGTCTGGTGAACTATGTTTCCATATGTGACTCTATTGTCAAGATTTTTCTTGAGAGTATTCATACTCTTGAATTACGAAAAGTAATAAACTGATATGTGTGAAGAGTAATTATTTACTCTCCCATTTGAATTAGCATGCATTGAATCCTCCTTCCCTCTTTGTTCTTATGTCTTGTGCTGTTTAATTTGGCAGATGTTTTCTAAGTACTCTATTCTCCTTTATCAAGTTTTGTGTTCTCTTATGTATCTGAACTAATAGATTATCTTGAACTCCTCCAATTCCTTTTTTAAGATCTTTGGAAGTCTTTTATTTATCAATAACTCTATATCTTCTTTCCGCGGTGCTGGCTGTTACTCTTGATTAGCGTGGAGATTATACAGAAAAGAAGAATATAAAAGTTAGTAAATATCTGCTATGTGTGAGGCAGTCTGCTAAAGAGTATGCTTATATTATTTCATTATATATCTAGGCCATTTTTCCAGGTTATTAAAAAATTATTTCTCTTCTTCTTTTTTTTTTTTTTGAGACAGAGTCTCACTTTGTTGCCCAGGCTAGAGTGAGTGCTGTGGCGTCAGCCTGGCTCACAGCAACCTCAATCTCCGGGGCTCAGCAATCCTACTGTCTCAGCCTCCCGAGTAGCTGGGACTACAGGCATGCGCCACCATGGCCGGCTAATTTTTTGTATATA